TAGTGGCGGTTAAATTTAAGTGGTTGGGTTAGCAACCAGCTGAAAGTATTTTGGCGTGGTTCGTTGATAGACGGGGTGTAATAAGTGAAATATTTGTGTACTACTACTTCTAACTTACGCCGTCCCTAAGTTATAAGAGGATATTAGGGGATTATATTTGTATTATATCTTTTGTAATTTTTTTGTAACATATATGTAACTAATAAGTTTCGTGTTTCTATTTTATATGAAAAGTTACAGGTAGGTTATAGAGAGGTTACAGGGGGTATAACGCAAATATAACCCTCCAATACACTCACTGTAACCTACTCACGTACGCAACTCCGCGTACGTTAGACATACACAAGAATTTCTCGTGTAAACTTGCCGGCTCCTATTCAGCTCCCCTCGTTCAAAATCAATGCTGTTGTTTTTGTTAGTTTTTTTAATATATGGAGCTTAAAATGTTTGATTCATTTATTTGTCAAATGAATTTAACATGAACTACTTAATAAATCGAACAAGAGCTATTCGTGAACAAGAAGAATGAGCTGTTTTAGCAGCCCTTAATGGACCTTTGCCTTTTCCTGAATGCATTTGAAATAAAATAAATTTATATTTGAAATTTTTACTGTAATTATTTATATTTATTTTTCAGTGTAATTAAAGGATTTACGTACATACATGCATAGATTAGTAAAACATAACTAGTTTCATATTTAATACTTGAAATAAGAAATCTACATCTATGCTAGATTGTACTATTACGGACCCGTTTGGAGAAAGCTTAGTCTTTCATAAAAATCCTTTTAGAAGGAATTTTAACATAAACGGCATTATAAAATTCCAATTATTTAAACATGCATAAAAGTATTTGATCTCAGAAGTAATCCTCAAACACGGTCTGTTTATGAGAATCTGTTTGAATTAATTATTTTTTTATATCATTAAAGGTGGCGTTCAGAAAATAAAATACGAAAATATGCTTCCAAGAAATATGCAAATAAAACACTTTTCTCGGGAAAATATTTGTGTACATAAGACGTACGTAACACTGCATACGTCCAGGGGTTATTTAGGGGGTACATGGGGGTTATATCGGGGTTATACCCCTCTGTAACCCCCTTGTAACCTCTTTGTAAACTACTTGTAACCTACAAATGAGTTCAGCGTTTCTGTAATTTCATGGGTATAAATAAGTGACACAGAGGCTACAAAGGAATTACACGGAGATTACAGGGGGGTATAACCCAGATATAGCCTTCCTGTAACCCCTGAATAATCCTTGACGTACGCAGCGCTGCGTACGTCTTATGTACGCAAATATTTCCCCTTCCCTCGACCATCTAAGAAGTATGTGAGCGTGAGTCTCAAGACAATAGACGGCTTGGGAAGAAATAGTCGATCAGACGTAGACGATTGCCTGATTTAGAAACTGGCGAAGGGAGTGTGTTGTTCGAGCGGTCGGTAGAGCGTGCAAGGGGATCTATCACAAGGCAGTGATTGGTCATCAAAACGATCGATAAGGAGTATCCTCTTGGATCAGATATCCACAGAGCCAAGGCTTAGTAGACGTCAGTGAACTTCTTGTCGATTGAATCAGCCTTCTAATTTTATTATATGTGAATATCTCTATAATTACAAAAAATTACATCTCAAAAATCAATGATAAATGGACTAATGTGTACTTTTATAATGCTGAGACTTTTGACTATAAATAGAGGGCTCATATCTTGAATAAAAGGAGCACACTCTCTCTTATCGCTATTTACTGTACTCTCTCTCTCTCTCTTCTATAAAACGTTCTATATTTTGGGTGTATTTTCCGGACATTTTTTTATTCAACAAAAAATAATTTTCTTAAAAAACTAATGTTACAATGTTATTGATTTATAAAATTGTAAAAAAAAAAACATTGACATCATCCCCCATAGCAACACATGATAAAGTTGCCTCTCAATAAGACATTAGATACATAGCCTCATGTGTAGGATTGTAATCAAGCTGAGTTGAGTCGAGTGTGTCATGATTTTGGTTTAGCTTGGTTGAATCATTAGGTGTTCATGTTCACTTTTAGTTTGAGACTAGCTTTAGCATATATACTCATACTTGACTTGGTTAAATTGTTAATATTCATACTTGATTTACAGTTACTTGTTTATATTAATTGAAAATTATAAAACTTAAGAGAATATTTTATTTTTCCTACAAAATCAAAAATTTTGATTTATACATAGTTTTTCATAAAAAAATAATAAACAAGTTAAAATTTTAAAATGCTTATTTATTTTTTATATAAAGTCATTAATAAATGATTCAACAAATCTAATTAAAAAAGCAATTGCATAGATTTAAAACTATCATCTAACAAATTTATATCAAATAAATTAAAAAATATATATATTTTTAATTAATTTTTTTACAATCAAATAACATATTAACAAGCTAGTTCATTGAATTAAAAATAAATAATTACATTAAACTTATGTGCATGATAATATTACCCGGGGGGGAGCCGATCCGTGACGAGGGCGTCACGTGATTGGGTGGAGGAGAATGTCACGGATAAATAGTCTCACATCGGCTAGGTGTAGGGCCGAAAAATAGTATTTAAGTCATGGGCTGCCCACCACCCTTAAGGGCTCTTTTGGGAGGTGACATGTGGCCAGAAAACAATTGTTGTACGATGAAGATAAGATATATACTTGCAAATTGTCCCGCTGAAATCCCCTCTTCCAATAAGTAAAATATTACATCAGTGCTCCTAACGTAGAGCTATATTTAAAGTTCATTGATATGCAGATACATGAGGTTGATAGAAAAATAAAAATAAAAAAAATATTTTAGCGCAGGGGAACATTACTCTCATGTTATTTCGTATTATTCAAGTGTTATTATGATGATATTTATGTGTTATTGTGTTCTGAGAATATTCTCGGTGTTATAATAACACAATAACACATCAATATCACCACAATAGTGCATGAATAAAGCGAAATAATACAGGAGGAATATTTTCTTATATTACTGGGCCGAATCACAGGAAAGCGCACACGTTTTCTTGAAGCCACGTGTCAGCAGACAGTGGACTCCGAACATAGCTCTACATTTATAGTCCTGATATAATATTCGGTGCTTTATGTAAAAATTTTCAACATTGCCATAATCTTTTATGTA